TGCTCTAAGAAAAATGCTGATGTACAAACTAATCATAATATCTTGCTTAACTGAAATTTTGTGTGTTTGATTTTTCCAAAAGTTCACTAAAGAAGAGTGGAGAAAAAACCCAAGCATATTCATAACAATGAACTTGACAATTAAAGGTCATTTGCCCTTATTTTAAAATTAAAAAATATGAAGAGTTTTTCAGTTGTTGAAGAGCTAATGCTTTTCAAATGTCTGTTTTGATGCCATAAACAGCAGAGTTCTGGAATGTTTCCACCTTCCTGAGTATTTCCATTTATCTGACACTTATGTGTAATCATGTTTAGAACACAAATCTGTGCCAAGCCCAGGTTTATTTTGAGGGCAGCTCATGGCTATACTTTACACAGGAACCAGTGAGCTAGAATACGCCCACAAATCTTTAACCCATCACTTGTCTGAATAATATAAAAGAAAATGCTGTTGCTAACCCGCTTTCAAGCATTAAGATAATCTGGTTAGGGGCAGCTGAAAGGAGAAATAATGACATGTATATTGCTCTTTTACTGTGCCATACAGAAGCAGGCTAAAAAAAAGAGTCAGAACTGCAAATAATAATAATATCGTCTTGATAAAAAAAAAAAAAGACTCTCAAACAGCTATATTTATGGAACCCTCCCACTTTTTACCCACACAAAGAGCACCATTTCTTATCATTATTACTAAAATGATACAAAAAACCCAAACATTCTCCCTGAACTTCTTGTTGATGGGCAGAAATTTGTGAACAACAAAACCTATTGGCAATCTGGCATAGTCTGCATCAAAAAGAGAGGAAGATAAAGCCAAACGAGTAAACTCTGGAAAAAAGTTGTCTGATTTCTGTTTCTGTAACAAGCAAGAACAAGTCCTCTGGCTTTGGTCACACTTTCATTCAGATTCTGCCCCAAATCATGCCCCTGAAATCACTACAGAAACTGCTGAAAACTAATCCATGAAAGCATTAACTCTGCAAATGAACTGACACACAATGACTGCAATCCCAATGTCTCTGCATAATTGGAACAGTGGCCAGATTCTGCTCCTAAGGTCTATCTCAGTCTGTTATTTTGATAACAGAACTTCTCATTCCATTTCCATTTATCTGCTCATACAGCTGACCTGAGGAATTAAAAAACCCCTCAACATTTCTCTCTCTTAAGGCGAATTATGTTTAAGGAAAGAGAGAAAAACAAGCACTAACACCAAATCTTGATGAGTGTCTTACAAATCATCTCTTTCCGTAATGGAAAGTCCTACATCCTTCCTGATCCACCCTCATGGCCTGTCCATGGATGTGGGAGAGGAAAAAAGACAAAGAGCCCACAGCACAGTTCTCATACATTCACACAAATAAGAGGCCTGGAGCCTGAAAAGCCCTAATGCATGTTTTCCATTTATATATATAAACCAACCAATAAAAGGCTACACATACCAATTACCTTTTCTCTTCTTGTACTTACTGTCAAGAAGTAAACAGAAATTAGCAGCTGCAGTGCTTTTTTATTCAGGATGTGTATATTAACTGATGACTCACCAAATAATTTGCAGCCCAGCATGCCAGTTGTCTTCTCCTCCACAGAAAGAAACACTATTTTAAACAGAAACTTAACCACTGTGGATCTTGCAGGCAAGTCAGCATGCATCAGAACAACATTGCTGGTGAACCCCAACAGGGCAGAGGAAAAGGGTCATTCAAATAGCACATTGCAAGCTTTTTAAAATACTCAAATAGGAATAAATGATACAGGGAGGGAAAGAGCAGAGGCAAGGAAGAAAGGATTATCACAAAGTCAACCAACCCACACTGCCACATGGCCTTTTGTGGTACGCACTGCCTTCACACAGCAGGCAAGACCTGCACTGCATGAACAACTTCAGTATATGGCTAAGCTTTTTTTTGTAGTCCTCTCTAAGTATGCTTGGGGCCTGACTCAATAGTTTATTTCAAATGGAGAACAGTAATCTATGGCACAGAGGCCAAAGATGGCATGCAGCAGGCTTAGGGAGGGCTTGGAGCTGGAACTTGCACTGAAAAGGTTATCTGTGAAGAAGCAGCTCCCAAATCCTGGCTCTCACTGAACTCCAATGTCTGCAGGAGTTGGGAGCCCATGCCTCCTGCAGACAGATGCTCTGTAGCATCTTTAGGAATGCAGTGTCTTGTGGGTCTTGCTGAGTTTCTGCCAGAACACTTAACCTCTCATTTGGAAAGCAAGCTGACAGTTCTTCCTTCAGATTATGTCCACCGTGTAATTAATGAGCTTGACATTACAATTTTGGCCAAACTTCTGTTACATCCTATCTGATCAGATGCAATCAGAAAGAAGTACAACCCAATTAAATTCTAGAGAATTAAGGGCAATTGCTCTCTACTCCTACAGCATTCACTGTGCTGTTCTTTAGCGCAGCATGAAAAACTTCTTTACTGACAGTATGGAATATTCTACTACGACTTAGTATTTGAAGACTGAACCACGGGTTTCATTCTATTTTAACTCCATTACATCTATTTAACAAATTCTGATTGGTTTCTAATTGCTTTGTCAAAAGAAGAAATAAATAAATAAAAAAATAATGACACAACAGGAATTTTCCACGAGTTGTAGAATTGTCATTTCATAAAAATGTGGGTTTTGAATTCTTCCTATCTCATAGTTCTTTAAAAACTACAGAAAGAGAAAACAAGTCTCCTTGATCTCAGAATGGACAATACTCCTTTGCTCTCCGAATAAGAAAGTTCGAAGAAAACTCACAGCGTTATTTTCCACAGCACCTGCTGCTGACTCCTAGACTCCAAATGGAGAATTAAAGTCTCCCTCAGCATAATCTCAATCATTCTTCATCAACCATTGCAGACATCTGAATCCAACCTTTGCAACATGGGTTTAAGGCTAATTTTATGCAAAGAGGCAGGAGAGCCAATATGTGGCAGAAAACAGACTCCAGCATACAAAAACATATTCTCATTTGTGTTTCCATACTCTTGTAGTAATAATTTATCCCTGGTTCTGAATAAGCCACAGGTTCTTGGGTTTCAGGCCACCACCGTCACATCCACAAGTTGTAACGCCCTCTACAGCCAACACTGTTAAGTGAAATCCCTGCTCTGCTACACAAAAAGACAAGGTAATACGCACCATCCAACCAACTTTCTGCAAGCAAGATTTAGCATGCTCATGACATATTTAGAGTGGCTAAAAGCCGGAGCTGCAGCTATCACATGTCAGTTAAGGATTTTTTAGACTGATAATGAACGTGTGCATCTAAAAAGCACTGCTTCTGTTACAAATCTGCCACACGAATAGTCTTGGTACATGCACTAAAACTGACAAATGAAAGATGTCAAATTTCTCGTGCACAAAATGTGTACCTCATTGGCTCCCGACTATGTTCACCCATCAAGTGCTTTCCAATAAAGTAAATACATGCTGCACACACACAAGGATTGTGCAGCACACCTCCTAAGTCTAATAGATCTCACAAGGTTTGGATTTGGTGAAAACACAGCACATTGATAATTTGTCCAGGCTCTGTAGAAATAGTCAGAAATGTAGAAGCCTAGCAAAAATATTTATGGCAAGTCTGCCGGGACTGCTGTAAACCCAGAAATCCTGCTAAATTAAAAATATCAGCTTCTACATGAACAAAGTTCAGATAAAAACCAAAAAAGATGAAAGCTGTATAGCAACTCTTGAAAAGGAAAGGTACATAGACTTCTGGAAATAGAGAACCTCCATCCTTTGCTGTTTTGCTGCTCCACAGGAACTATTAGAGGACTCTAAGCTGTAATCTGCCTGCATTAAATCCCCAAAAGAAAATGTCTAAAGCAAAATCCAATTTAAAATTTGAAAGTATACATTCATAACTCTAAATTAACCTTAACTGCTATTTGCATAAACTACTATATAGAAACAGATGTATATCTGTAGGCATTTAAATTATGTAGGCAGCACAGTAATACTCTTGAAAACCCCAAGCAAGACAGTCAGTACCGTAAATAGGAAGCTAGTCAGGAATAACAAAAGATGAATTAGTGATTGTAACCAGTAAGACCACAGACATTTAAGAAAATAGTAGAAAATTAAAGTACACAACCTTGTACTAACAAAGAAATAAGTAGAAGATCAGTAGGAACTCTGCCAGTTTCTACACTTAGAAATTTGTATTTTAAATAAGAAGTTACTTGCTAAATATGTAACAAATTCTAATGGGAAAGAACGTATTAATTTACTTCAGACCTACACTGGCCAGTACCCAATAACAGCAAGATGTTCTTATTGTTGAAGAACAGAATGAATTTGAGCATGTACCTTTATAATGCCCAGAAAGCAAATTAAATCCAAATATTTAAAAATTACTATCCATTGCCTTTGTTACATATATCGCTCTACTGCAACATCTTTTCCATGACGTGGGCATCCTCTGCATCTACAGTAGGAAAGAAGTCACCACACACCCAAGGGAAATGAGTTCAAACAAAAGCATATTTACAGGCTCCCTGCAGTACAAAACACGTTCCAGCAGAGGTGGGATTTTGGCTGGCATTATTTAGCATCCTGCCCAACCCCACCGGGCCGAGGGACTCTCCCCGGTGCGGCTGCCCGGGTACAGCAGTGGGAGGCAACGCGGAGGGGAAGCCTCTTCACCTCCTCAGGAGCCGCAAGCGCCTCACTCCCCCGAGGCCCTGAGGCCAGGCCGCGGCAGCCCAGCACCCCACTCCTCTCCGTCTGTCTCTGAGAAGCGATTTTACGCTTCTCCCTCCCCCACACGGGAATAAGCGACTCCCTACGGGGCGCTCCCCAGCACCTACAACCAAGCTCTCGCCCTTGGCCAGTCCCTATCGCCAGCTGTACCCACAGCAGCACCCAGACCACTAGCCAACCTCTCCCCCTCCGCCTCTGCCGCCGCCGCCGCCATTTTGCCAGTCCCGCCAGCCCGCGCCCCGTTAGCGGCGCCGCGCAGGCGCAGCCGCCTCGTGCAGGCGCAGTGCCGCGTTGGCCCCAGCAGGCAGCATGGAGGACGCGCTGAGGCGGGAGCTGGGCACCGCGGTGCTCCGGCCGACCGGCCACTCGGGGGGCGGCTGCATCAGCCAGGGCCAGAGCTACGACACGGACCGCGGCCGGGTGTACGTGAAGAGCAACTCCAAGGCGGAGGTGTGGGGGGGTAGGGGTCGAGGGTGGGGTGCGTGTGGCGGGCCCCGGGGTGGGTCGGGGAGAGGAGGCAGCTGTGAGGGTGGTCGTGCTGAGGAGATGGGAGGCGGGTTGGCCTCAGCCGGTCCCGGCCTCTTGATGGAGTGAGGTTTGCCAGCTGGCCTCAGGCAGTAAAATTTCGACTGCCGGTGTCAGGGAGGTGGCCTGCTGCCGGGGTTAGAGGTCGGGTTCGTATGGCAGCTTCTGCCCTGCGAGGCTCTGGCTGGCAGCTGCTGTGGGTCTGGGGCCCGGTTTGTGGCAGGGGTGCCCGGGGATGGGGAGGCTGCGGTGGGAGTAGGCACTGGGATGGGAAGCAGCATTTGTGGTGGAATGCTGTTGCGGTATCAGTATTATTTGTCTAGGGCATGCAGTGCAGCGGTACGCTGTTGTCAGTTATGGCTGGGGTAATGGTGGTATCACTGTGGCTACATATGCTGTGAAAGTGTCTGGAGCAACCTAGAAGGTATAAAATTATCTACTGAGGGTATGCCTCTTTCTTTGTTGTAATGAAACCAGTAATTCCCTGCACATAAGAAGGAGCTTTTCTCAATAAATGATATTTTCCACAATTGTTGTTCAAGATTTTCTGCTTTGTTCTTTCAATACCTGGTACCAGCTACTGTAGAAAGTAGATCTCTGCATTTGATAGAGATAAGTATAATGCAGCATACCTGTATGGCATCCTTATTTGCAAAAGCAGAGATCAGGTGGAATTTACTTTAAAGGTTCTCTATGCATGTGTCTGTCAAATGAATAGCTTCAGTGGAAGAATAGAAGTCAGAACTTGTATTTGCCTTTAATAGCAAACAAATGCATGCAACTATATCTATTCCAAATTTGTCTGCGCTTTCTGATCCTATCAGGCTGCTGGATGTATGCACTGAGGTGGTAACATGGGAAAATACAGAAAGGTTATCCTGCTTTACATTAGACTGAAAGTAATATGAATTGATAGCAACATAGCCTTCCACTTAGGCCTTTGTTTAATGTGTATTTAAGTATACAATCCAGCTAGCTAGAAGATAGGGCTTAGAAAAAAAGATCTGGATAGATTTTCTATACAGTAATCATTTCATTTTCTATGCTTTTGCGTGTGTGTGGATTCTGAGTGCTGATTAAAGCAAACTTTGCCAAACTGTATTATAATGCTATGCTGTGTGTGCAGCAGTGGGTGTATATCAGCAGTTCCTTTAGAAAACACTGTGGGTTTTACTCTATGAAAGTTAACAGCTGACTTTAACCTAATATGGTGCTTTAGAGATACGGAATTTACGATTACCTCTGAACAAAGCTATAGCTCAGTAATTGAGCAGTTCTTCATTCCTGATCTCCTGTAGGCTTTAGAATTTTTAGTCAATGTGTATTGCAAATTGTCCTTTGACCATGTTTCTTGTATCAGTATTAAAGGGCTAGTATTCTGTTTCTGTTTTATTGATTATGTTAACTTGCTTTTGCTTTTAGCAGATACCATAGGTTTCCCAAATACCCTTTCCTGCAATCTCTGCCTAACTCTTTTAGAGTAGCATTTTTTAATGTGGCTAGTGTCACTGATGTCAATGGAGCAACTAAAGAGAACAGATTTTACTCAATATGGACAACAGTTGCATAAATAGGTCCTAAATTCAGAATATCATCAAAGCAAAAGCAGTTGGTAGTGGCTTGGGTTTTAAAGGCTTCTGTGTGCAAGTGTGGTAAGGGGCATTTGGTTGCTACCATTGATATTCTTCCCCCCCCCCCCCCCCCACTCACAAA